AGTGCTTCATGAATACAGTTTAGATAATATATTCTAGAGAATTGAATTAAGTAAGCAAGCAAAAATTGAAAAGTATTTTATATCCATGAGTACTTTTGATTTCAAGATTAACAGAGAGGAAACATTGCTGAAGGGAAAGTTCTGGCTGTTCTGATTTTATGCCCTATGTTAAAATTTAACTACATTTTAGATTAATGTGAAAATTTAGCACTCTTTGTCCATTCAAAACATAATACCTTAATGACCTGTGAGGGTATTGATTGTATAACTCATCTGTAGGGTTATTTCAGCCTCTCAGGCCAGGGACCCTGATTTCTTCAGCTGCCTGACGCTGTCTGCATGGAGGGACACAGAGTTACATGAAGCCCCCAGCATACTGGGAGAAGTCATTGCCGTTGTGGTTAAGAGAATGGATGTTGGAATAGAAGCCTGACTTTGAGTCCTGCCTACATAGGTTTCTAGCTGAGTGGCTTTGGGTAAAGTTGCTTAAACTTTCTGAGCCTCAGATTCCAGAGCAGTAGAAAGAATTAAGCGAATTATTTATGGCCTGTGTTAGGATGGGCTGCACCAATATTTGCCTGTCTTTCTCAGGCTTCCCTTCTGATGGCACATTCTTCCTTAGATATATTTCTGCAATCATGTTACCATCAAATCTTGCCAGGAGCAGCTGCAGCTCTTTAGAAGGGACTGGAATCTCACCATCCATGGAGCCAAACAAGGCAGGTGACAAGTCAAGCCACAACAGGCCAGGTTGCAGTTGTGGCCTGTGAAGAGTGTGTCCACATTTCCGTTCATGGGGATCAGCCGCTCAGCAGTTGCAGCTAATAATTGCTTTTTAGGAATCTAGATTCAGTGGGCAGGACTTTTCTATTCTTTCAGAAGAGGAATAAAAAAATCTAGAATTCCATAATTTAAAATGTTAGCAATTAATATTTTTTCAAAAAGTATTATGTGGGTCATCCGAATCCCTTTAGCAAGGTGAACGTATGCCCTGAGATGCCAATTTGCCACACCTGCTTTATGGTGACGTTGCATGTCTCCTCCATTGCTTTTTGAATATCTGGAAAGTGCCATTGCACAGGACTCGAATGTAAGAGTGAAGTCAGAGTCCTTTCTCGAGAGTGCTTCTGGTGGGTACGCTAATGCCTTTTATGTCCAACCATTTTGTGCTCAGTGTCCTGCTGAATTCCCCCGGTAGTACCTGCTCTGGTAAAGTCTTAAGTCTTCAGTTTCATATTCTGGACTGAGATATAATTTACATATGATAAAATTCACCTATTTAAAGTATACAAGTCAATGAATTTTAATATATTTATAGAGTTGTGCAGCCACCATCACCATATAATTTTAACATATTTCCATTAACTCACGAAGAAACTTGTGCCCATTTACTTACAGTCACTCCTTGTGCCCAGACCATAGCAGCCATGAGTCTACTTTCTTTTTCTGTATGTTTACGTTATTGGACATTACATGTAAGTGGAATCGTACAATGTGTGTTCTTTTGTGTCTGGCTTCTTTCACTCAGCATGTTTTCAAAGTTCGTGTTATAGAATGTATCAGTACTTCATTCATTTTCATGGCCAAATAATATATTCATTCGATTTTAGGAGTATACCGAATCTGTTTCTCCATTTACGAGTTGGTGGATATTTAGGTTGTTTCTACTTTTTGGATATTGTGAGTAATGCTGCTGTGAATCCTGAAAGGTTTTCTTTTTTTAAATAAGACTCAACAAGAAGGAGAATACGTTATTCTGAACAGTTTGCTGTTATACCTGGAAGCAGTGCAATAATCCCTGTGGGTTATTTCTGGGGCCTTGGTCTTAAACAAAGAAATACGAAAACAGTAAGAAATTCTCATTTTCTTTCCAGCAGAAAAGCTATTGTAATTTTACCATAATTTAAAAAAGTAAAACAAGTCCTTTTAGTAGGAAAACAGGGCTGGTAAATTCCTATTTTGTTATTCACAGATGCAAATTACTCGCAAACATCTGCATGTACACCTGAAGAAGAGAAGACAGTCTTTTCTCTCACTTCCTTCATAACTATTTGTTTCATGGCACTAAGTCAGCAGGTTAATCGGAAGGTCACCTACACTTCTTGCATCATCGTTTAGAGGTGTACACAGTAAGAACATTATTTATAGTGAGCCCGTGTGCTTCTGTTGCAATCTGCTTCCCAACACATAACAGGATTGGAAATTAATGGAAGCCTGGGTTTGTTACATGTCAGTGAGCAAATGGCAGTCAGAGCCAGTGAACTCCTAAGCATGTATTCATGTGTAGGGGTGGGGCCATCACGTATTTACTGAGTCATCCTTAGAAAACTACCTATATTCAGAGAAAAAATGTGAAAGCATGCATCACTTAGGTACTTCTTTCTCTTTTTCCCTCCTCCCAGAAAGAAATCTAGAACACATCTTACCATGCTCCCTCCTTCCCCGATTGTCCGTGGTCACTATTGTGTTTGCATCCCATCTCTCTCAGCCTGGAATGTTCCCCTTCTGCTGGTCCCCCTGCCAGACTCCACTGCAGTGTCTCCTTCTCTTGCTGTTTTCCCAGGTGGCTTTAGGCGCTACCTGTACCTCCTTTGTGCCTGCGGCTAGTAGAGCTGTCATCTCCTTGTTCGTAATTGTTAGTGTGTGTATCTTTGTCCCCATTGGGTTTAGAGACATTCCTGTGTCTTTTCATTCTTATAACCCAGTGCCAGGCACAGGACCTGGTGCATAGGTGGTGCTCAGAAGTACCTGTTACAGGAGGCTGGGCACAGTGACTCACGTCTGTAATCCAACCACTTTGGGAGGCCGAGGCAGGTGGATCAACTGAGGTCAGGAGTTCAAGACCAGACTGGGCCAACATGGCGAAACTCCGTCTCTACTAAAAATATAAAAATTAGCCAGGCGTGGTAGTGCATGTCTGTAATTCCAGCTGCTTGAGAGACTGAAGTAGGAGAATGGCTTGAACCCAGGAGGCGAAGGTTGCAATGAGCCTAGATTGCACTACTGCACTCCAGCCTGGGCGACAGAGTGAGACTCTATCTCAAAAAAAAAAAAAAAAGAAGTACGTGTTATTGGAAGGCTTGCCTGCTTACTTGCCCTATAGGTGAATGGGTGTCACTAAGGTTGTAAGGTCAACCCTAGCATTAACTGACTGCACAGATATGGCCAAACTAATGTGAAGAAACTGACCATATCTCTGAGGGCTAGTAGCAGCCCTTTTACTACAGATGTGGTTCTAGGGTCCAAAGAGTTACTCGGTTCCCTCAAATCTCTGGTGATACTGAAACAGCGTGCTTTTGGAATTCTGTTTAGGTGGTTACAGACGATCAGGTTAATGGTTGGAAGGAAAACCAATGTCTCATCTGATTTTAACAAAAATCTAATTGTGCAGGCATTTTAGACCTATTAATTGCCCCGAGGGTTACTGAGTGATTATCATGGGAGCAATGACTGTTGAGCAGGCATAACTCTTGTCAGCTGAATTGATTTTTGTGAAAGGACCTTGTCAGAGTCCATTCTTCATCCTGGGTTCTTCTGCCCTGAACAGCTGTAATTGCTAATGATATCTGGACTGTGGCGTGGTCTGCTTTAGATATGTGTGTAGACAAACTGATTTCTGTTGGTAGCTTTGAAGATTGCCCTAAAGCTTCTTTAGCCCATGTAAAATTTTTTACCAATTACCCTTTACCCTCAAATTGAAAAGTAGATATCTTTATAGCAGATGGAGAAATCTTTTATATTGAGAGCACTCTTTGAGATTTCATCCTGGTAGCAACAATGATAAAGCTAGCTATGAATTGAAATTGTTTCCTTGTTTTCCTGTAACGCCTGGTGAGGACAGGGCTTTCCTCTGCTGCTTTGGAAAGGTTTCTGTTTTTTGGTCTAGTGACGCTTCTTACTGTACTTGCAAAGTCCTCAAAACTTAAGGTCTGGCTTCTGGGATTCCCTCAGTGTTTCTTTATCTTAGGCTGAATAAAAGAACTTGACCTTTCTTCCCTCTCACTTGCTTTTGGTGATATAGATTCCCCTAATTTTAAAAGTGTCTTCTGTGGAATTAATTTTGTTTGTGTATCTTGCAGGTACTACTCAGTCCTCTATCCACTGGAGAGGAAAATATCTGATGCCAAGTCACGTGAACTGGTGATGTACATCTGGGCCCATGCAGTGGTGGCCAGTGTCCCTGTGTTTGCAGTAACCAATGTGGCCGACATCTATGCCACGTCCACCTGCACGGAAGTCTGGAGCAACTCCTTGGGCCACCTCGTGTACGTTCTGGTGTATAACATCACCACGGTCATTGTGCCTGTGGCGGTGGTGTTCCTCTTCTTGATACTGATCCGACGGGCCCTGAGTGCCAGCCAGAAGAAGAAGGTCATCATAGCAGCGCTCCGGACCCCACAGAACACCATCTCTATTCCCTATGCCTCCCAGCGGGAGGCCGAGCTGCACGCCACCCTGCTCTCCATGGTGATGGTCTTCATCTTGTGTAGCGTGCCCTATGCCACCCTGGTCGTCTACCAGACCGTGCTCAATGTCCCCGACACTTCCGTCTTCTTGCTGCTCACTGCCATTTGGCTCCCCAAAGTCTCCCTGCTGGCAAACCCTGTTCTCTTTCTTACTGTGAACAAATCTGTCCGCAAGTGCTTGATAGGGACCCTGGTACAACTACACCACCGGTACAGTCGCCGTAATGTGGTCAGTACAGGGAGCGGCGTGGCTGAGGCCAGCCTGGAACCCAGCATACGCTCGGGCAGCCAGCTCCTGGAGATGTTCCACATTGGGCAGCAGCAGATCTTTAAGCCCACAGAGGATGAGGAAGAGAGTGAGGCCAAGTACATTGGCTCAGCTGACTTCCAGGCCAAGGAGATATTTAGCACCTGCCTGGAGGGAGAGCAGGGGCCACAGTTTGTGCCCTCTGCCCCACCCTTGGGCACAGTGGACTCTATATCCCAGGTGGCACCAGCAGCCCCTGTGGAACCTGAAACATTCCCTGATAAGTATTCCCTGCAGTTTGGCTTTGGGCCTTTTGAGTTGCCTCCTCAGTGGCTCTCAGAGACCCGCAACAGCAAGAAGCGGCTGCTTCCCCCCTTGGGTAACACCCCAGAAGAGCTGATCCAGACAAAGGTGCCCAAAGTTGGCAGGGTGGAGCGGAAGATGAGCAGGAACAATAAAGTGAGCATTTTTCCAAAGGTGGATTCCTAGCAAGGATGGTCTTGGCAGCAATGGGGAGCTTCCATATCCCACCAGAGTGTGGGAATACTGTGGCCATATGATTGTATGATCTCCTTGCAACTCAGTATGAGTTGATTCCTGCAATATGGGCCAGATGCTTTTGAATGATAGGGAAATCTACATAAAATCCAGTGTCCTCTTTATTGAGGGAGTACACATATCCATCTCAGTGGTCCGTGTCCTTAGTGAAGTCCACATGATTCTCTGTGGGGACAAGAGCTGGGCAGTTTCGAATGGGTCTTGAGGCGGGTATTCTGTGTACACTTTCTGGGGATGCCTCGCTTCCCTGGGCTCCGCAGAAAACACACGGAGAGAAGACTTTCAGAGCTCCCAGGGAGCAGGGGCACTCTAAGGGAATTCCAAGATCATGATGGAGCAGGGTGGCCCCAGAGAAAATGCCTGTTTGATTAACTTAAACATGTCAAACATTTTCTATTGAGAAGATAGCGATTTGACATCTTACACCATTTCTCTGGAAGCCCGAGTCATATGACTCAACTGTTTCTCCTGATACCCTTCTTCCCTTTCATTGGGATGTAGGTGAGGGAATGACGATTCCCTATTGTATGGTAGACATGACAATAGATGTGGCCAGGAGTAAGGGAGATATTTCGTCCTTGATAATTCTGATTTTCCCTTGGCACCACCAACGCCTCAGAGAGATCCACCTGCCCCCTCCAGTCAGGGTCAGTGGTGGTTGGAAAACACTGAAAAGTCTTCACTATGTGTTTCACCTTAAATTGTGTTTTCTCAACAAATGAGAGAGAAGCTTACAGGGGGAGATGCCTGAGAGATGCCTCTAGCGCTGTAGTTTTTTTCTCTTCCCTATGATCTCGCATGAAAGGTGCTATGTAACAACCAGTATGAGTCAAGTGTATTGAAAAAATCATCTTCTGCAAACTTTTGGAATTAAAAGGTATTTTTTAAATGGAGAGTTAGTGTAAGCTGGGTTCTTTGGAAACATCAAACTGAAAAGACCTGATTTGGAAAGGTGATTCTGCCCAAAAGGTTGGCAAGAATCTGACAAAGATGGTTTCCTTCCGAGGAAGACTCCAGAACTCAGGTATGGCCAGTCTCCTTTTCAGTCTGTTTGTACAACTGTGGTTCTCTCTTAATTTTGGACACAGAGGAGGAACAGAACAGGGAGAAATAGTCATTGTAGAGTGCCAAGGCAACATCTGGCCCAGATGAGCTCTTCACTTCCTCCTTCCCTGTCTTTGTAGGAGCCAGAGTGGGTAGAAGAGGGAGGGCAGTGTCCTCAACTCATCAGCCTCACAAGCAATTTGGGACCCCTCTGGGTTGGATTTCACCGGGTTGAATTAGAACCGCCGATAACACTTCCCTGTTAGTGAGGACAAACTAAGTGCCAGCTCTGCCCTTTTCTCTAGGGTGTTTTGTTCTTGCTCTTGGTACTTAGGGGAGCTAGTCTGGTGCCTTGAGCAAGCTTAAAGGGAAGTGGGTGTCCTCATCAGCAAACTTCCGCATCTCCATTTGTCCCCTCTTTTGACCACACTGGCCCTGTCTCTTGGAGGGAGCCTAGACCCTGTAGGGAGTTTTGTTTTCCTTACTTCTCTTGGGTGTGGTGTCTTGTGTTTCCTGAACGTTAACCCAAAGACCCTGCCCCTGGAGAGGAAGCACCTTCCTCTTTGTGTTGGTCTCCTCATAGCACTGTTTGCTCACAGCAGAAACGGGGCTGCCATACCCTCCCACGACTCCACTGCCTCCCGGGCCCTGTGTGCATGGCATCTATAGCTCCTTGCCCTGATAGTGAGCGCTGTGGCCCTTCAAGCTTATCTTTCAAAACTTTCACAATCATTACAACTTTTATCAAGGGGAATAATAATCTCTAGGAAAATTGTGTCCACTTTAGGAGAATCTGTCAAGTGTAGCCACTTTGGTGTTGTTCTGATAATATACTGTATATGTACAACTTAATAAATTTTGATGAGGCAGAATCTGGTTGGGTATGTTTCTTATGTATGTTGGAAGCAGATGGCTGACTTCTAACAGGTCATTGCCAGGTGTATTTCTATACTCTTTGAAGAATAACATTTTAATAAAAAAATGAAAAGCAGTTTCTGAAACCAAGAAAAGTTGTATGAGCTATATTTTCTCCCCTTTTTATCTCCCTCAAGTGATATACTGCTAGAACCTGTCTCTTCCTACATGGTCTCAGATGAAAGATACTCATTTTTTTTTTTTTCCTCATGAATGCAGATGTGGCATTTCAGTAGCATTTTCTTGTGTTGTTGCAACTAAAAGAAAATAAATTCCCTAAGGAGAAAATGCAACATCTGAAAAAATATCACCAAGATGGGTTCCAGATTTTGGCGATGGACACCCAAATCTCTAGGCGGAGCTACACAAGGGAAGCCTGGAGTGCAGCCATCATCACCCCTCCTGTGCGGGAGCGGCGTCAGGAGCACAACAGTTAGGGCCATGAGCTTTGAGGTCAGATGGCCTGTGTTTAAATCCTGGCCCCACACTGACTAGCCTTGTGACCTTGGGAGGATGAAGTCACCTCCATGTACCTCAGTTCCCTCTCTGTAAAATGGGAGGATAATAATTGTGTCAGAAGCTTCTGTTGCCCCTACTCACATATTTCACCTATGACTTTAGCTGTGTCTTCAGTGGGCTGTTGCTGGCGGCATCTACTCACTTCCCTGAAAGCAGAGCTCCCTGTGTCTGGGAATAATCCTTGGCCTGTGGGGCATGGGAACCACTGGATAAATGCCCCTGCTTCCTGTCCTGCTGGACAATTGTGGGAGGCCTCTGTCCAGTTCTCAAGAGGTCACTGACACAGAGTTAAGTCCCTGTGGCCCACCATGGTGCTTCAATAGCGCAGCCTTCTATTGACTCTGCTTTCTCCTTCTCTGATTCGCTTTCTGCAGCCCTCGTTCACACCCTCAGGGATCACCTCCCAAACATCCTACCTGCACAAAGCCCTCGTCTCAAGCTCTGTTTTCAGGGAGTCCGAGTGAGGCATGGAGCGCCTGTTAGGATTACATGAGATAATCTGTTTAACACAATGCCTGGCACAGAGTACAGCTGTATCAGTGTTAGCACTTACACAGTACATAAAAAAAATAAAGTGGCTAGGCAGCTTATGTGGAATATTCTTGGAAAACTACAGGTCTTTTCCCCAGTTATTCTAACAGTAATTCATATTCATAATGATGATACTTTGGGGTAATACATAATGCCAAGGGACTATTAGATTCCCTAAAGAAAAAATAACTGTGTAAGCCAGAGTATTTCTTAACTAGACAATTCCCAGTTGAAAAAAAATAGGATGTTCAAAGAAGGTTCACCTTGGCCACTAACCTGTAGGCCATATCTGAATACGAATGCACTCAATGACTGTTTCGAAGTAAGAGCAGAGCGGAGTACACAGGATATCGAACGACAGATATACAAATCCGAAGTGGCCCCAGCTGTAGGAAAGAAACTGCAAGTTAGTTGGTGGGCTAAGTGAACATCTGGAGTTCAAGCACCGGTCTGATTCATCTGAGGAGAAAAGCCACTCCTGCATCCCAGCTGGGTACTGCTGAGCTCTTGGCAGACCTGCGCCAGAGGTGAGGTGGTTCTGCGCACATGCAGCTGCTGCTACAGGTCGAATCAGAGATGCACAAGGGAAAAAGTTTATTACGGGCGGAGTTTTGGTGGAGGGAAAGGGTTAATGCTTTCATGGTGTAGTCTACCAATGTCTCAACATACAATGTCAGTAATACCATAGCAGAGCGATGCACTTTCCCCACATAGTTGTAAGTATGTCGCAGATTCATATCCCAACTAATGTGCCACATTAGAGCTCTGTAACCAAAAGAGAAATGAGTCACGGTAAATAACCTGGGAATCTGTGAATGAAATAGGAATTGAAATAAGTATCAATGCCCAGGGCAGCATCAAAAGCGTTTTTGTGCAAGACGTATAAAATAAATGGAAATGAGCTTAGATTCCCCATACGTGAGGTTTCAGAAGGTAAAACAGCTCCCTTTTTCTTAGCCTCAGTTTCAACCCGTCTCCCCGCCATTTGTGCGAAAGGTATCCGTTAGTTGATCAGTAGAATAAAGGTCTGGAAACCTGTATGGAAATGAAACTCTGATCTCCAGCATTGTTTATGCAAACCTCTATAGCACTTCATGTCCTGGGGATTCAGGGGTTCTTATTGCCAGATTGAAATGAGTGAATGGTGAATGAATACATAAGAGATACAGCACCTGGAGCAGGGGCGCGGTCTCTGTCGTGTAGGAGTGATGAAAGATTTGCTTTCAGTGGAGTTATTGCTGGCTCTTATTGATTTCCTTGGAATGACTCCTGCAGAGTTAAAAGGCATCAAATGCAAGGCCTTTGATCCATCTCCTTCTTCAAACACCCAAGCCTCCTTTTAATTCACTAGGAGTGTAAGTTCCAAAGTTGGAGGGGAAGTTCAATACTGAGAAACACAGTTCCAGGCATGTGTGTTGGGCTTGAAGAATAGTTCTTTTATCAGCTATTTCGATCAGAACTTAGTGATGAAGTCTTTCTGCCTCCCTCAGATTTCTTTTTATATGTGTATTCATTGCAGTCCGTATACAAAATGTAATATACGCACAGAGGAGTTACTAGAATAAACACGTGGTATCCATTGTAAGGCAACAGGTGAGAACAGAGAACACACGGCATGATGCTCTTGCTGTATTAACCATGTTCCCTGTGCATGTAACTTCTCTCCTGCCTTTGCCTGGCCCCTCTCATTCACATGCATTGCCTCAGGGTAGGGGATGGGGCTTTCACTGCCTCAAGGAAAAGCAGATATCCTTTGAGTCTCTTCCTAGTTTTTGTGTCTCAAAAACCAGGTTTTAGGAGAACAGAGGGGACTCTTGGGGTTAAGCCAGTGAAGTTTTGGTCATAATTGTCAA